TCGCTTGCTGGAGGGGCAGTTCGCCTCGTACTAAAGGAATCGGTAAGTGTTCATTTGCTCTGGTTCAGGGCTTTCTATGGTTTCCTTCCTACTTTAAGGCCGCTCTACCAACGGCTATGGCTAAGGGAGCTGTGCATGCACTTACAGCAGTCGGAATTGCGATTGATCTCTTAACGGTAACGTTGAGCGTGAAGGTAGGTGAAGGCTGACCACTACTTTCCTTTTTATTTTCATTTTCCATCGCATTTCTTCCTATTTCTATAGGTTCAAAGTACCGAAAGAAGAGCTATGAGCTCCATGGCTCATAACTCACTTTTCGGTACTTGTGGATGTAAAAAGTGGGATTCAACCTGTTTTCCTGTTTGTCACAGCACTTCCTGTTGCTGCCAGCCTGCTACACATTCCAAGACTAAACTTGGGCAGATTTAGTTATTCATCCATTCATACAGAAGCAGCCAAATATACTCGAAAAAGATGAGCCACTGACACTGAATTTCTGTTATCCTCACGGTGTCGGTAAAGTGTGGGTTAAGAACTCATCCAAAAGTCTCAACAATTTACTACTGAAATTTCATACCTAGCGCACTCACGAAAAACTGATCAAAGAGCTTTTCTCTCTTACAGCTGATTTGTTTGAAGGGCTTGGTAAATGGATCCCGTTCGGAAGTGGCCGCCAAGCTACGTGAAGCTTCTGAAGAACTAAAAGTCACTAGAGAAGCGATCACTCGTCATTTCCTCATGGATTATCTTTTATAGCTTTATGTTACTCCGGGAAGGGGCGAAGTAAGGTTGCACCGCTTTTTACTTTTTGGGCTCTCATACTTGCCTCTTTTTCATTTGCTGATGTACTATATATTTTTACTTTTGGGGTGAGGGAAACGTGTTAGTCTGATTACGGACTTTGTACATAACCTGTAGTACATATTATCTCTAGCTCGGTAATTTAATAGTTGCCAATTCATAACAATGAAAACGGGATATATTCTTGTGAGGCAGAGCATTCCGGAAAACGAGGTAGCTCATGGTTGTGCGTAGCGGCGGACTATTATGGGAGTTAGTTTCATGTCTAATCGTTATTATTACCACCTCGTCTTGAACGCCCTGCTTTTTTTTAGATAGACTATCTGTTCAAAATCAAAATCTGTCTACAAGGTGTTAACTATAGGTCCAAAGTTTATTGTGACACATTTGGGTGCGAGAGTACATGGTAGATTAAACAAGCCAATGTTTACTCCTAGAAGTTCAATCAAGTTTTTATGCTCACTAAAACCTTCATAGATTGCACAAGGTGTTACAGAGTTTAATATGGAGTAGCTTTCGTTTTCCTATATTACTAACTTCTTGTTACTCATTTGTTGCCTGAATGAACGTGTGTCTATCATTGTCATTCTTCACTCTCATAGTAAGTTAGCCATAATTGTCTTTTCCTGATATCATTGAGAATATTGAAGAATAAAGAAATTTAAAACACATTTTTCTGTGCGGGCATTGTAACTATCGCATCAGGTTTTTACTCACAATCAACAACACGCTTAAAGATCGGTGTTCAAATGTTCAGCAATTCCCAATCTGACGATTTTTTATCAATCAATGGGCCCCTTATTTGCAACACGACTCCGATTGATAACGATTGATAGAGGTCGGGTGTGGGTACTTATCCCCGAGAGTCGCGTCGCGCTAGTTGCATTTGATCGAGCGCTATGAAGGGAAAGGTTTTTGTTTCCAGTGGAAAGATACGGTAGCCGCCGAGGAACCGGTGCCGTGGGAATTCGGGGAGAAGTACTGCTACACATAGAGGGCAATCCACATTACATCCATCTTATACTCTTTCAATTTGAGTGCTCGACACAGGTGGTTATCATTTTTACTCAATTCTGTTCATTGGATTACTGCTTTAAACAGGCATTGTGCACGTCTTCCCGGGGGACGTTCGATTCGTGCGATTCTGACGCCTATTATTGGGGCACAAACCTGAAGTAGAATGGTTGGGGATGGTCAGCTGATCCTACTAATCTACTCTACTTCGAGTTTGTGCTCCAATAATAGGCGTCAGAGTGGTTCGAATCACCGCGAAATCCGCCGCGCGCAGTCCGAATCGCCCCCCGTCCTCCCTCTCTCCTAGTCTACAACCATGTGGTACGGTAAAAAGTGTGATTCAATTATACAAGAACAAGAGTTATGGTAATCAACGCTTCATGAGGAAACTGCTTTATGAGGAAACAGCTAGAATACTTGAGCGATAGATAAAATTCTGAGCGGTGTGTAGTGGTAAGTAGTGCACTAGCACAATGACAGTATCCCCTAACATGGTCCAATCCAACCAAGCCTTCCATCCCTACAGGCGTACCCCATACACGGGGTTGATCAATGCCGAAGACTGTATTCCTCATCTATCCTTTATATGGAATCCCTTCAATCAGCTCGCTCAAACCAGAACGCGCCCTAACCAGTAAGTGCGCGAGGAAATAAAGCGCTCCACTCGTTAAGCTACATTGCGACCGTCGAAGGAAATTTTTATTTTCTGATGTTTGTTATAAAATACATTTAATTCTGTTTAAATTTGTCATAGGTATTTATTCATTGTTTGGAATGCTGATGTGAGTCTGGTTCGGGTCTTAACATACATTGCATGGGCAATTCAATGCAATACACGATGAGACTGGTAGATACGTAATCGAGTAATAACTTCTTTCAATGATTTCTACTATGTGCGCTGAATAATCTTCACTTGTATACCTTTTTCTGTGTGTTGTGTTATTTTTTCATGTATTTTTACTCTCGAACTTCGCATCCTGTGTTTCTTTTTGTGTTTATTGTATCTCCATCCCGATCATTCTTCTACTTAAATGTAAAATATAAGACATTCTTAGAAGATTCGTCGTCATCTTTCAATACGAATAAAACGTATGTTAACCTACTAACAGCCTTCATACAAGTACTATGGTTTCGTTCAATGAACAAGAAGCCGAAGCCATTCTCGACAATCTCTGTCAATTGTATAAGGTATGCCATCGTTCCTTCAGGTTAAAGCTACACCTAAACTTGTTGCAAGCTTGGAGCGCCTAATTTATGTTCATTATTTTTTATCCATAGTCGTCCGGTTTGCAGATATTTTGAAAATAACTTCCATCATATCGAGCCTTACATTACTGCTTTACTTCATTTAAGGATTCATTAATCCTTGTCACAAAAGTTATTCCAGGCCGAACTCAAAAAGGCAAGCGGTTTGAAGGCTGGCAAAGAGAAGAATCGTAGCGCACAGCCGCGTTTCAGTTTCATCCCTATGGCTAAAAAGATTTTCGATCCAATACCTCATAATAAGGTGAGGATTTCGTTTTTAAGGTCAAGTACTACTGCTCTATGTTTTTTTTGTTCCACATTTTATTCCTAGCGGTAGATACCTAGGCGAATGGTATCTCTGGTAACATGACTGGGAACGCGTTGAAAAGTTTCCAAATCTATGTAGCTGATGGACTTTTCGCTATTCTATGACACATTGTATGATTCTTTCCCATTTTACGGCTCTTTATCACCTTGTGCTTACCAGCCTTTTGATCATTGCGCTTTTCNCTCTATATCCTTTTATATTACGAGCTTAGCACGTCAATTTTTCTTGTTCTATTTTCTTCCCTTATTTTACCTCTTTTGAATCCCGATCTGCATTCTCATGTAGAGACTCCGTCTGGCTATGAACCAGAATCTCTACAGCAGCGACTGTGTGCCGTGTTCTACATCTTCTGATGTAACCTTGCTTGTTGTTTTTATTGTATGTTATTTACAGATTCCTTCTTTGTACTTGGCGTTATTTGATTGTATACCAAAATATCTATCTGCTCATGGTGATGAGCTATTTGAAAATGGTAGCAGTACTAGAATACCATTCAGCATAGAAGAATTATTATTAAACGTGAGTTCTTTCTCTGGTGTGTGTCTTCTTTCTTTCATATTATTTCCTAAGAAAATTCTTCAAAACGCCCGCTTTTATTTCTAATGCTTCTCGTTAGGTCATCATCCCTTATCAGTTGCCGCATTCAGTGAAGGCTCCATGTCCTCAATCTGCTGATTCATGCTCGGCCAACAAGAAGAGTTCTAAGGCAGTGAGTTTGTTTTGGTGTTTCCATTCGTATGACTTTCTCACTAGTGGTTAATTCGCTTTTTAGACCTTTTTTCGGATTCTTTTCATCATTTCAACCACCTACTTTAGGTACATTACGTACAAACTCCTGCTCGTGTTCGGTTAGAGATTGAGCACTCAATCCAGCTCATTCGTCATTTTCTACCAATTAAGCTTCCTTTGGAGGTAACTGATATGATTAGTAACTAATTTAGCCTTGGTGCGATTATGATTGCTATTTTTACCTACTTTTAATCATGGAAGCGCCTTCAGACAAAGGTATGGAAGCAGATCCGCTACATTCTCGTTCCATCAAACAACAAAGAGAAGCTTCGCCTCTTGGTACCGGAGATAGCAGCAGCTTACACGAGAGGTACGATTAGGTGAGAAGTCGCTTGATTTGTTTTTTGATTACTTTTTGAGGGCCTCCTCTAACGCCTTTTTGTTTCCATGTATTATTGTTAATTGTTTTCGTTCTATTACCATAGAGTTAGAAGGTGAAAGTTTACTTGTGGATGAGCCGCATGTCTTCGTTGAAGGTTCTGATAATAACATGAGAATCCAGGGTTTCTTCCTACCACATCTCATTTCTCTAGAGCTCCTACTTGATTTCGGTGAATTTCTTGACTGCGCTGCCCCCACGCTTTCCCCCTCTCTCATTCCGACGCTGGATACTCAACACTAAAAACGTTAACATCACGTCATCTTGATATTTTTCGCGCGGCAGAGGAATTTCCATTCCGAACATTAAATGACGCGACTGTCTGCGAGAACTTTATTATGGTTATCGTTGTTTTCAAACGTGAACAATGCGAAACCTAGTATAGTGTGCTGGCTCACCATTGAGCAATTTAATAGACGTTTATTCAGTTTCGCCGCTCTCACATTTATTATGAGAGATGACGTACTGTCGGAATTCGCAGAAGAGCCTGATCCAGTGCTTCATGCCTTATATCTTGGTCCGCTAGGTGCGGCGACTGTTGAGGTTTATTTATTTCCATTAATTTATGTTTTCTTTCGAAATAAATTGCTATGGCGTTTCGTGATCCTTCCCTTTCGGCGCTCAGCTTAAGATTGTAAAAGTTTCCTAAGCTTACCGTTTTGTCCGGAATGGACCATGTCTTTTTTTGAAAATCGCTTTTGGATCATGAAGTTAACTGTGAAGGTAACCCCATCTCTCCAACGTAGTTCCTTTTGGATATTGTCTGTCGTGGCGTTCCGTAGTGAGCTAGGTCAGAGTAATTTGTCTTCAATCTGTGAAATTAATGCATGCGCTTCGTTCTGAGGGAGCGACCGCGGTAGCGCGTCCCGAAGTGGGTCTCTTCTTTTTGCCGGAGTCGAAATACTTTGAACGAAATAAATCTTGATCAGGAACAATAAGCACATCTACAAAGGGACAAAGGGGAGGGAGGGGGGAGGGGGAGTGGTGAAGAGTGTAAAGAATATGGAAAGGGGTGGGGCCCTCTCACTATCAATATCAGTGTTAGGTGAAGGCGACTAAATAAGGCATACAGATGAAGGGGGGGGGGGGGGGGGGGG